TCGTGGTCACCGGTGTAAACTGCGCAAATGGCGTTGGGCCATCGTCGCTGAGTTGCGGCAATGGCTGCCCACAACACTCTCTCACCGCCACCACCAGCATTGCTACTCAAAGTCAGAAAAATGGCCCATACAACGAAGGGGAAACTTACCAAAAGGGATGAAAGAAGCCAATCACTCCGGCCCATTCATCCTTGAGAGGCTTGCCATTCTCAGCGCTGCCCTCTTTCTCGATCTTCTCCCACCCATCTTCGGCTTCCTGTGACGCAGGTTGATTCTCCGATACCGCGGCTCTCTCCCGCCTGACCCTTTCTAGGATCGCGGTCTTTCGATCCCTAGTCTGTGCACGCAGATGCCAACCAAGCGCGCGCAGTGATAGCTGTATCAGCAAGAGGAATACGAGGGGCACAAGCGGTACTACCGCCAGGATTGCCACTGCGCTCGATGAGGCGGCCATTGCCAATGCTGCAGTAGACAACAGTAGTCACCGAGACGCATGCTTCCAAGATCGTTGGCTGAGCGAGAAGGAGGACAATTTAGCTACAGGGGTAAGATACGACTAAACAGGCTGAAATGAGCAATGAGCATTGGGCAATTATAATAATAATACCAGCTGCGGCTCCAGGGCCTGGCGACCAGTGTGGCCTCTTCTTCCACCAACCAACAATGACGCAGCCTCGGGCCACGCGCCTGTTTCCCTTGCCATCCCCACCGCTATTCGTGGGCGCGTGTCGACGGGTCACTCGTTTGTTTCATGCTTTCGCTGCACCACGAGACCAGTTTCCATATGCTCCCTCCAAGACCTAGCTAACACTGAGCAATGCTCTGCCGCAGGGCCCTTCGACGTTGGGCCGAGCTGGAACGCCAATGCTACAGGCACAATTGCCTCGATACCCCGTCGCTCTCCCGTTCCTTTCACTCGTCTTATCCTAAACCCTTCGCGGCCGAATGCCTCCAGCTCTCCGGAACCATCTTTCAAGAGGTGCACACATTGACCGGTCTACCATGGTACCTGTCGATCCCATTGACCGCTTCCCTCCTTCGGATGACCTGGATTCCAGTCCAGCTGTTGACACACCGAAGTCGGAAACGGAGAGAAAGTGCCACGCACCTCGCAACTGCTTGGCGCATAGCATACCAAGACACGGCGAGGATAAAATATCCCGCGGGAAGGGAAGCAGACGCCAAAAGAGCTGAGGGCTGGGTGGCGAGCCAGCTCAAAGCCCGAAAAAAGGCCATTCAAAAGCACATCCCATATCTACCAATCTGGGTGGAACCAGTACTTGCGCTATCCTTCATACCTGTATGGGTATTCAGTATGGACTGCATACGGCGCATGGCGGGCGACAAACGGACCGTGACCTCGATGTTCTTCAGATCTGACGGCGGTACCGTGGATCCAAACATTGTGCCCGCGGAACCAGGCTTTCAGACTGAAAGTCTCTGGTGGATATCCGACCTGGCCTCGCCGGACCAACTCTGGATTCTCCCAGTGACATACGGGACCCTAGCGACCTTGAGTGTGTGGCTTAGGGTGAGGGATGCTGCCAAACAACGGCCAGAAGTTAGCTATTCGAATAGCGACGACGCGAGATTAAGGGTTCTCGCTGCAAAAACCAACAGGGCTTTGTCCTATGTCATGACAGCTCTTCCTTCCGTCTTTACGTATCTGATTATCAGGAGCGACCTGTCCACAGCTGTGGTGCTGTATCTCATCGGGACCACGACGACCCAACTTGTGCAGCGGCCTCTCCTCGCCCGCGTCCTGGGGACCACCAAGCTCGTTCCACCTCTAAGAGCAAAACAAGCGAAAGCCAAAGGACAAGTGGAGGCATGAATGATACCCTCGTGATTATATTTTGAAAAGCAGGAATAGAATTCTTCAATGATGGGAGTTGTACAGGATAAGAGAGGATATGGTTTCAGCGTACAATCCATACACCTCATCTTACGCCGTCAGCCACGTCTTTGGGAGGAGATATCCCTCGATCTGAGGTTGGGATATAGCAACACAGTGTCGGACTAGACCGCATTGGCGGTAAATGAAAAGTATGTTCCTTGATAGATCAAGGGTGATCTTGTTTAGAAGGTAATTATGTCTCCATACCTTCGACTCGGCAGGCGTTTGTGTCCCTGTATATCTATATACGTAGGCCCATTTCGTGTTACTCTCCCTCTCTCTTCCTCTCGTACAGTAACCTAAAAAATCACAAGGAATACGTATACAAATATGCAGAATATACTAGTTTTCAAGTCGTGTCAATTTTGTTGTCAACTCCGGCTTCGGGCGCGCACACCCGCCATCTACGAGACAACAAATATCTAGACAGGCCCTAACGCGTGACGCCAAAGGTTCCCATACTAAAACAGGTGTGTAGAGAGGGAAGTCTTCAATCCGCTGCTCATCGCATCCCCCATTCCCATGGACCAGCGGCGTGATTCCCTGCCATCAAAGCACTATATCAAGCAGGCAATGTGCTGTGGCGAAAAATACATCAGCAACACAACCTCTTTTCGCCTGACCGCCCACCGTATATTGGTAGTCATGAAAATGAACACCAAACCAGATCCCAAAGACCCTTGCTGGCGAAAGCATCTAAATAATAACGGGTTGCCCGAAGTGGTCTTGGCTTGTTTAAACTTCACTTTCTGAAAGAGCATTTTCATTTCATAGCTTCGCCTTCAATTGCCCGTCCTCAATCTTTTGTGTCTGTCGTGCCGTTGCTTCGTCGTTGATCACAACCTTGCCATCGGCTTCACCAGCCTCACCGAAGAATATGACCTGGACGGTCAAGTCATCCCTGTATCGTCGGCTGTAAGGGCTCGGTAACGTGAGCAGCGCGCACACCATGTCTTTGTCTTTCCCACCCAACGCGTTCCGAATGAGGTGAGTTGCACAGTTCTTGTCCTCGACCACGAAGCGATTAGAGGTGGAAGGGGGTGAAGCAGGAATGTCCCATTGTTGCTGTCGGATGGGCTTCTCCACGTTGTTGGTGTTGGAGGTTTTGCCATCCTTTGCGTCCTTCTGGCTAGAGGAGGTGTCGATGCGGCCAGTCTTGTCCATATTTCCCCCTTTCTCAACTGGTAGCCCACTGGGCGTTGATTTGAACCAACTCGTCAACCAAGCAGCAGTATTCGTCCCCGAGGATCCCTTGCTACTGGCAAGTTTGTTTTGATGTTCGATCCATTGACCCACGAGCCCAACAACTTCTTCGTTGGTCAGCATCTCCCATAGCCCGTCCGTGGCCATCACCAGAAAATCACCGTCAGAGGGGTTGATCTTTGTGCTCGTCACCACGGGCTCTGCAGTGACATAGGGTGGGGTTTTCAGCAACTGATGCGGCGTCCTTCCGAAGAAGTGCTTCTTGATCCGATCCTGCGTTTCTCGCGACCATTTATAAAATGCATCCCCGAATGCGCGAGTCGGTTCCAGATTGCCCAAGACTCGTCCAGCTCGAATAACGTAGTCCTCGCCTGGATGTTCGGCACGCATGCGTGCTTCTTCGTTGGGATTGGAGCCGGTCTGGTCTTCTGAGAGAGGCGTGGCAAACCACTTACCCGTTTGCGGGTTGCGACGGCCAAGCACGGCGCGGGAATCCCCAGTGCATGCGACGCGGAGGGTGTTGGACTGCGAGTCGTAGAAGGACAGCAGTGCGCAGGAGCCTGATAGAGCAGGTGCAAGTATTTCGGCAGCAAGGCGTTTGCTAGGAGTTTTGCTGAGTTTATTGACACTGTCCAAACAGATTTCGTTGTCCAGCTTGACGAAGGCGGATTTGAGGGCTTGGTCAATAGCTGCGGGTGATGGAAAGGGGGACTTTGCGTCTGAAAGAGCCGCCTTGTAGGTGTGATTAAGTTCGCGGGCTGCAAAAGAGATCAAGACCTGCCGCAGTTTGGCAGAGGTAGTCCATCCGGAATGACCGTCGAAAACACCCCAGAACATCCAATCCGATGATGCTGAACCGTCTGTGGCAGCGACTGTATTCGGAACTTCGACGATCTTCTCTGCATGGTCATCCTCAATTGGGTCGTTGCTGGGAAGCTGGACCAGATCATATCTCACCACACCCCGTCCTCTGCCGACGAGGAATGATTGTTCATTCTTGCGTAATCTTTCTGTGGCTTGCTCAGGGGTCATCATCTCTAAGACCTTCCTGCCGTAGTCATCTGTGTCCTTGGCTAAAGGACCGTCCCCCACGATGGACCCGGTGAAGAATTGATCGTTGTCAACTACCAATGCCTTCCGATATTGTTCGGGACCTGCAGTCACTGACGCAGGGTCAGCAGCTTCTGCAGAAGACTGTGGAGTATCTGCTGCGGTGCTCAGACCCCTGCTAGACTGTGGCGATACTGATAATGGTTGGGTTTTGAGAAGATGCTCTGGCCCATCACCTCTGTAAGCATACCAGGCTCCGATTGCTCCAAGGGACCCAACGAATAGGATTGGTATCTTGGGTATACGCATAGAGGACTGGAACGGTACTCGAGACGTACTGTATCTGCGGACGAGGGAGGCTGAGTGAACGTTGGCCGAGGCTACGACATGGTTCGGAGGCGCAAAGGGGGACGATTTGGAGACGAGCTTCCGAGAGGCAGAGCGTCGGGCCGAGCGAAGGGCGAAAAGGGCAGCGCGACGCATTGGAGACGACGAAGGTCAAGGAGGCGAGGAAGAAGATGAGGATGAAAGCATCTAGGGAGGGCGAAAAGGACAAGAAAGACAAGGTGATGGCGATGGCGACGGTGACCCTGACACGGACACCTGAGCAGATACTCAATTTGTTCGCCTACAAAAGTCGATGAGGCTGGAGGCTGTTGGATGCGCATCACGCAGATCTAGATTGAACCAATCGGAGATTTAATTATCCTGCTCCGCTTGGGTCCCTCGTAAACGTCACCCGCCGCATCAACTGCGGCGGAATTTATTTGCAGTCACATATCTGCCTATCCATCACCCCTCACATTCGCCGCTATATTCTCTGCTGTCGAAATTCGCAGGAACCGGCAATATGTCTTCGCGAGCCCTCCGCAAACTACAGCGGGAGCAGGAGTTGCAGAGACAGGTTGAGGCTGCGAGAAAGGCATACGAGGAAGCGGAAGAGTCAGAAGAGGACGATGATATCCCGGAGCCACCCTCCCGGCCTATGAATGCTTTTGACATGCTGGAGGATATTGAGGATGCAGGTGATTCTGACGAACATGAATACGAGGCCATCACACGCGCAGATGCTACAGAAACCCCCGAGACCAAGCCATCCCAAGATTCAATATCAACACCCCCTACCAAGTCGAAGAAGAAAAAGAAGAAATCCAAGAAGAAAGGCAAGGCCAAAGAAGAAGCACAGAAAGATCAGGAGGAGCAATCTGGCGACGAAATTGACCGGGCACTGAAAGAGTTGGCTGCAAAAGAAGGACGAGCACAGGCGGCGTCTGCTGTGAAACAAGAGACACCTACCTTTGAGACGAGAGCCACCAGGCTTCTAGGCATAGATTCGCACAACCTCAATCCTGTCAACGAAATGAAAAGCCTTTTCGGGAGCATTGCACTTGAAGGGCAAGAGTCTCGCTCGGCGCCTCGAGCACCACGCCGTCGAGAACAGAACCAGCGGGGTGGCGTTGATCTTGCGACTGCACTTACGGGGAGATATTGTGCGGCGAGCAAGGGAAAAGAGCTAGGATCTCTCGCACACAGGCGGAATGTCTTTGTCCAGGGCAAAGAAGAGTGGCCCTTGGCCACGAGTGGAGGATTGAGCATGGAATTGGTCAAATCAGACTCTGATTCGAGGGATTCGTCCGAGAAGCGATATAACATCATACACCAAAACGCCTATCGCGAGACTCAGGTTTATTTCTGCATGGCTGTCGAATCAATGGATCCTCAAAGAATGATCGGCATGTTATCTATGTACCCTTACCATATTGCAACTCTCCTCCAAGTCTCGGAAATCGCGAAACACCAGGGCGACAACGCTGTCTCGGGAGATCTTGTTGAACGTGCGTTGTTCTCATTTGGCAGATCGGCACACAGCACCTTCCCAGCCTCTCTGAGAAGCGGCATTGCTCGTGTGCCATTCAACGACCCAGCCAACCGAGAACTATATCTTGCAATCTGGCGATACATCAGAAATCTCGAGATGCGGGGGACGTGGCGGACAGCGTTTGAATGGTCTAAGGTCCTTCTTCAGCTCAATCCGCTGACGGATCCCTATGGAGCCACCCTTATGATCGATCAACTTGCCTTGAGAGCCCGACAACACGCTCAACTTATTGCGCTCTGCTCGGACGATGCATATGGCCAAGCGTGGGATTTTCTGCCCAATATTCAAATTTCTCTGGCACTCGCCTATCAGCGGTCCGGCAATCCACGTGAGGCGCGTACTCGTCTCGCCGTTGCGATGCACAAATACCCTTACATCTTATCTGCTCTGGCTTCGGCACTCGACATCTCGCCGCTACCCAAGTCCCTCTGGGCGAAGTTACCATCCACTGACGCTGAAAAGCTTTACACTCAACTTTACGTCACTCGTGCAAAGGATCTGTGGAACACCCCCGAAACTATCAGCCTCCTCGCCGAGGTAGCGGAAACCCTTTCTCACTACAGCGACGCGATCTCGGCAGCTCCAAAGGCGCCGAAGCTGGAGATTTCACTCGAAGAAGCCAGGCATATCATGCTCCTCGAAATCCCGTCGTTGATCGCCCTCCTCCCACGTCGGTTTACGAGTATGCGTACTTCGTCATCCGATGTCCTCCCTCCCCCAGACTCCTTGTCTGACTATGTCGTTCGAGCACCGGGCCTTGGTCGTTCGCGAGGGACTGATGGAACTATGCAAACTATCTTCAATGCTGCAGGTGCGACTGCGGGCACCGCGGGCAGCCTCCTTACACGTATCATGAACTGGTTCCAGACACCGGTCTCTGCAGAAGGCGCGAACACCGGAGGTGAGTCGGAAGGCCAGGCTGCCCTTCGCGCATTGCAAGAGCAACTCGGGGGTAATATTCCGCCGGAAATGATTGAGGAGCTCCTGAGGATCCATCTGGATGAAGCCGAGGAGATAGAAGAAGGCGTTACCCCTGAGGGATTAGGGATGGCTGGTGGGTGGGACTATTATATGGATGCGAATTCCAACAATTCGACAGCTGACGACGACGATGATGACGGCATGCCTGACTTGGAGAGCATTCCCGACGACGAAGCGACCACGATCCAAACGGGACAGTCGCATCCCCCGCACTCAGCCATGGTGGAAGATGCTGACGAAGAAGACGAGGGCGCTCAAGACAGATCACCTCAACGTGTCCTGATTGGCGGTCATGCGGTGTTACGACACGTTGATTCGGACGCGGAAGAGGAGGAAGTCGAGGAAGCGGGCGAGAGTCGCGCGCTTCTAGCTCTCCGGGCTCAAGAACCGCAGCTTCATCACAAGGTGCAAACGACTCTACCACAAGTGGTGCTACACCCTCCTCCTCCTCCTCCTCCTCCTCCAACCAAGATCAAGATCAAGAATACCTCGACCCTCAACGCCTACAACGCTGGCTCCTCACCAACGGGCTTAGTGATCTCCAGTCCAACCCGACGAATCCGCAGACGTTGCAAACATATTTGAGGAGGCTGAAACTCCTGAGCACAAAACAGCAGGATTGGATCATCAGGATGGTCCGACAACGCGCTGGCGAGGCGGTTGAAAGACGCGTCAGAGAAGCGATGGAACGCAGCGCATAAGCTGGGTTTTTGGCAGTTCTGGAGGATAAAAAATAGATTCTGGAAAAAGCATGCCGACATGCATAGAGATGGCACGGTTAAGCTAAGCTGAGCTGAGAACAAACCGGTGCATAACACCAAAGATATCATGAAATCATCTCATCCCATGTTCCTTTTACCTCGACAAGTGATACGTTTCAGCCCGTACGTGTCTGTACCTGGACAGGATAGGGACCGAAACCTTTCTTCTTCTAAGTCTGGGAAATAAGGGGGAAAGAGAGAGTGTGGTTAATGAGCTCGTTCTTGTACGCGCATTCTCTGTCCTCCTCTGTATCATTCGCATGGACTGTGTTCTCCGTACGCTCTTCCCTTCTTTACGTGGTTCTGGGACCATGTTCCTACATGTGCCTACAGATTCCTCCTCGGATAGCATATCCCTCGTATACCCTCGTAGATGTATGTGTGTGTATGTATGTTTACACGTTCTCACACTCCCCCCCGCAAAACATCCAACGAATTGTGAAAGGCCCCCCACCAATAGAAAAGCGGCCAATTGTGATACCAATGAAAAAAAGGGGAGGTCTCCCCTTTAACTTCCTCAGGCTTCCTCGGGCTTTTAAACCTTGCCGCTCCCCTGTTGGAGACCCGTCAGGCCTGCGCCTGGCTTGCCGTCGCTCCCAGCGGGCTCGGGCGCAGGGTCGGTCCTCTCCAGTCCCTTTGCGCCTTGGTCCGCCCCGACCTTGTGCATCTGCTCGCCCACCTCGCCGCTCCCCGTGGCTCGAGAACCGGTGTCGCTACCTCCTCCTTCCTTCTTGCCACCACCCACGGCCGTCTCGGTGCTATGTGCGGGCTTCGGGGCCGAGCTACCATGAGAGGTGTCACTGACCTTTTTGCCGTCCGGGGTCAAGCCAAACACGGCGCTGTGGCTTCCTGGGGCGGCGGTGCCAGACAGTTTGTCCGTGGGGTTGGGTTCACCGACGAGGGCTGGGTCGGGACCTTGTTCGGGGGACTGGACTCGGTCTACCTTGTGGGAGCTGCCGTGGTGATCACTGCTGCCACTGTTTCCTGCCGAGACGGGCTTCGAGGGAGTTTCGCTCGCCGAGGAGGAGCTCGTGATGCTGTCATCACTGGTGGATGCGTCGTTCTTGTGATGGTGGCCGGCGAGATGATGGCTGGAATGGAAAATAAAAGAGTTAGTCAGCCGGCCATGGCAGGGATGGACATTGTAGTGATGTGGTTGAAAGGGGGGTCTTCTCTTACTGGGTGGTGTTGTCTGATGACTATACCGAGCCATTGTCAATTGAGATCCTCCAGCGGGGAAAGGGTTGTAACACTTACATCCTCCTTGTTATACCCCATAACATGATTGACAAGGTTCTTTGCCGTTTCCATCTTCAGTTTTGTTTTTGGGAGGGGCACAGATTTCTTGTATGATTGTCTTGTATTTTGATAGCTCACAGGTTGAGGTGAGGTTAGGTGAGGTGTGCGGTGCAGTATAGGATTTTTTCACAAGGGAGACAGGATTTCTTGTCTTGTTGGACAGCTTATGGTGATGGTCATGTATCGCTGATTGCAGGAGGATCGTATGGTATGGTGGTGACTGAATGATAAACAACCAAAGGAGGGGGAGGTAGAGAGGGAGGCGGACAAATATATGAATACCTACCTACTAGTACCTACTTGGTTTTTACGGAGTTGATCAAATACCAACACCCACCCGTCCCCCTCCTCTTCCCTCTTTTGCCTTTGCAATTGAAAGGGTCCCCATGAACCATGTGTTGGGTATCGACTTAGCGAAGCAGATGCCATTAGGTCTTGGAGGGGCATTGGACGATCCCCTCCATCCTCATCTTGTTGCTGAGGGAAGATCTGACGACGTCATTTCCTCGTGGTGTGCGTCATAGCAGCAGCGTTTTCAGCCCGTGTGTGTCAAAAGTGTTTGGGAGGAAGGAGCGAGTGAGTGTGATGGTACCTAGCCATCTAGGGTAGGTTACTGGCGTATATCTCTCCCCAAAACAGTTTAGTGCCAGAACCTCGTCGTCATCGTCATCATCAATGCGGGGCAAGGAACCGACTGGCCGACTTGGTGGTGGCGTTCTTTTGGTACAAGCTTGGCCCAGTGGGAAACAACCAGGAAGCTTAGCAGACGCTTTGGCTGGTTTGCGGCGTAGAGACAAGCATGACCAAGGCAAGGCAATACAATGGGGGATGCTTCATTCTCTGGTACCCACAATGTCCTGGGAGGTCATACAGGTCCATGGGAATATCCACGTGGGATTTTCACAACTACCCGTCGTCATCTTGATTTTCCAAACTCGAATACATTTTCAAAGTTTTCAATTTTTGGGTATATACAGAGAATTCATATCAAGATTGTTTGTCATGGCAAGATTTTGCAAACCAAAAAAAAAACAAACAGGCATCTGGGCTCAGGTTCGTGGTATCAATTGTCCCATCTTTCTCTATCCGTCCCCCCTCCCTCCCCTCCGAGTCTTCTCTTGGAAGAACAAAAACATAAAGAAATTGCCTCACACATGCGTTCTGGTTTTGTACAGCAATCGATCAAAATACAACATCTTTTCTCTCTTTCTCTCCCCATTTCTTCATTCCTCAAGGCTCATGTACCCCCCATTCGTAGTTAGAAGTGTGGCTCGCACGACGACTCCCCAGTATTGTTCTCTCATGGCTACAGCGACGTGGCGGTGGCAGACCTGGAAATGGTCGTGAATCCAGAGCTCGTCCGCACAAAGCGCATCTCGCCGCCGATAGTCGACGTGCTGGTGCTTGTGCTCGTGCTCGTGCTCGTACTTGTGCTGGTGCTAGTGGTGCTCGTGGTACTGCTCGTGCTGGTTCTGGTTCTGATTCTGATTCTGGTGCTCGTGCTCGTGCTCGTGCTTGTACTTGTACTCGTGCTGGTACTGGTAGTGCTTGTAGTGGTACTCGTCGTCGAAGTCGACACTTCAATCGCCGCTACTGCCACCGTTGGCGTGGCCGTAACGGTGATGGTGCTTTGCGAGACCTCCGTGACAGTAATGTACTGGATACTGCAAGGAGTCTGCACAGGGGCTACAGTGACTGTCTCGGTGACGGTAGACTGTAACGTGATGGTCGTAGTACCTTGGGCACCCACATCAACACTCGCGGCAGCCACCTGGTTGAGGTCTGCAGGAGTCGGCGATGGTAGGTTGAGGGTGGCGTATATCGTGCTCGTCTGGGTCAAAGTCCTCGTCAGGTGCATGGTGGTCGTGACCACGGACGCTGACTCTCCAGCCCCCATAGTCAAGGTAAAGGTCGTCTCCTCGACAGTGGTGCTCACCGCGGCAACCTCTTGGCCAGCTGTGCTGGTTTCCACCGTCCATGGTGCCCACGCTGACCAAGGGATACCTGTGTCGGTAGTGGCGGCAACTGCAGCAACCGATGCGACATCGGTAGAGGTGACATCCGCCGTCGCAGCAGCTACAGTGAGGCCAGTGCTGGACGTTGATGGAGTCGGCACCGGCAACGGGTCGACCACATTGTTGTTATTTGCATCATCAACAACAGTCGTCGTCGTTGTCGCCGGAGTCGTTGTTGTCGTTGTCGTTGTCGTCGTGGTGATGGCTCCAGTAACTGTGTTGACAGATACTGTGGTCGATGACAACAAGGGCGGTGCAACCTCAACAAATGGAATGGTGGATGTAGCGGTCGAAGTGGTGGTAGACGACGAGCTGGAGGATGTAGTGGTAGAGGACAAAGTCGTGGGCACATCGATAACCACGCTTGAGGTTGTAGTCGTCGAGGTCGAGGTGGTGGTCGAGGTGGACGTCGTAGTGGATGATGAGGTGGTGAAGGTTGGAATAAATGGACTGAAGGATGAGGTAGTAGTAGTGGTTGAAGGAGACGCCACTGTCGTTGTCGTTGTCGTCGTTGTTGTTGTCGTCGTTGTTGTTGTCGTGGTGGGAGTGAAAGTGGGTATATCCCTAGGACTTGATGTCGTGGTAGTGGTGGTGGTGGTTGTGGAACTTGGGCTGAAGCTGGGAGTGGTACTGGTCACTATGCTCGGTGGTGCCAATGTACGGGTCGTTGAGGTTTGGACGGTTGCTCTGGACGTGGTGGTTTCTGACCAGTCGTCCCAGTCGGACCATTCTGAGCTTGAGATTGAGCTTGAGCCTGAGCCTGAATCTGAGCCCGAGCCCGAGCCCGAGCTCGAGCTCGAGCTCGTGCCTAAGCCTAACAAGGAGAGGACATCGTTGAGTTGACGTTTGGGAAGTCGATAGGTGGACTCGTCAGGGCGAGCTTGGGCCAACGTCAAGCAAGCCACGAGTGCTAGGGTCTGGAAATGCATTTTGGGGTATATCGTTATTGTTTCACGGGGTTCGTATGTCTCGTCAGGAGTTTCTTCTTCTCTATCGCGTCTTCTGGAAAGTTGTCAAAACTTCTTTCTGCCTTGGATTGAGCGATCCTCTATGTCGAGTTCAACCCGCTTGGTAAAACAAAAATCAATTTGTGTTTGTGGATAATGAGTGACGGTAGCAGGTCTGAAGTGAATAAAGAGTGGCTGACGTCTCTAGGACGTCTGAAGCAAATGCTCAAAGGAGTGACGGAGAGTTGATGGGAATGGAAGAAGCAGAGAAGACAGAATATGCACAGAAGGGAAGGGAAGGCCATGTAAATGCTCTTCACGAGCGGAGTTGCCATCCTGAAGCGTTAGCATTAGCCGTCTTCTCAGGAAATTGTAGGGTCATCGGAGGGTTGCGGTTCGCGCAGGCCAACTCAGAATATGGTCCAGGATGAGCAAAACCGAGCGCAGATCCAGCATGAAACCAAAGACGATGACCGGCCAAGAAAGCGTGGTTGGTTGAGTAAGAAGTCGAATAGAGTGTCGCACGAGTAGGAGAAGAAATACAGGAGGCGGGTGGGGCCGATCCAGGGGACCAGGGGGTAAATATGCAAACCGTGATTGGCGTATCCTTCCAAGGCCATGTATACACTTTACTCCTTTAGAGGCTAGCGCCATCGGATATCCGACTCCTGAGCAAGGCTGAAGGTGGCACTGTGGCACCAAGCACCAGCAAGAGGCTGTCTACGTCCCTTCGTCGTCATATTGACCAGGCTCTCAAACACTTCAGTTCCCCATTCAAGCTCCGTCTCGTGATGAACCACATGGGAAGGGTCTCAGGGCTTGTCGCATACCATCAAAACCCCAGCACCAGAGATGAAGCGCTTTCTTCGTGCGACGTACACCTACAAGGAACCCCCTATCATAAGGGAGAATCGTCGCTTGTCCAGCTTGCCCGGATAAGCGATTTCTGCTAGCATCAGTGACGAAGCGCAAAGTATCGTTCACTATGCGACTCACCCGATCGCTAATCTGCACACACGTGTGCCTAAGTGTAGCGCAAATTGTATGCAAGTCATTTCGGAAGAGCGCGCTTCGCGTCCGTCGGATACACGACCTTTGGCCCGCGTCTGAGTCGTGTTGCTCAAGGTTTTGCTCTCGTGGCACTCTATCGCGCGACTTCAGCCCCATAATAATTAAGCAACGAAGATCCTTTTATTCTCCATTCCCCATTCTCCCTTTTCTTTTAATTTCTCTCTGCAGTCTCGGGGAGAGCGGAGGAGCTTGTCTATGATTGACTCGGAGACCATTTTAGTGGAAGCCTTGTCAGTAAGCGGCCCCTGAGGCTCGTGAGGCTCGGGCTTCTATTTACGGACATGGAGCAAAGACTCATCCGTTGTCGGCTTTTGTGCTCACCGACCACGAGAGCACATCTTCCCCTTTAGCGGACCAACATGCACACTGATCATCGCGAAGGCGTTCATAATCCAATTTCAGGAAAGTTATCAAGCAGTCCACGCGATAAAGGATTCTCAGGAGTTGTTCATAGGGGTTTGATACCGTCGGTGCCGACACCCTCGTCGTCGACGGTAAAGCGACGATCCAAACAAAAAAAGACCTGTCCAGGCTTTTGGTGTATCCGGCGGGTTGTGACCACGGTTTCCTGTGAATGTACATGATCCGGGACACTGCTTCATGGGCATCAGCTCACTTTTGGGCATTTGTACTGAAAATTGCTTCTCTATGAGCGTCGAGACCAACTGCCTCAATTAAAATAGTATTTCAGATTCTTGTTTAGGCTGGATCACATTTCGAGAGTATGATGCTATCAAAGACGAATAAGCCGATGACTTGAAATCGATACCCCTGTCCGCCGTTGCTAAAGGAGGAAAACGTACCTGCCTGTTGCTCGTTCCGGTCTATATATCGAACAGGGTTGGTGATGCCGTTGCAACGACGTCTGCCTTCATCATCTCTATTAATCTAACACTGATGGGGCTCCCCCTCGTCTGTGGAAATCTAGTCAGCAATGTGAACCTTGACGGTACCAAATGAACACCCACTTTTGATCATCTTCTTCATGGCCAGCACCAAACTCACACCCATGACCGCAAATCCAAACACAATGCAGGCCACGGCTGGTATCGTCTTCCAGCTTCTAGTGCTGAGCTTGATATAACACAACGGCGGTAGAATGTAAGCCAGCGCACACGCACTCGTCGCCCCGATCAGTTCGAAAACGGCCCCCAGGTCACACGTGATCAAGCTGATGGCCATGGCACTGACCACAAGGGCGCTGCTAAAGATCAAATGTCGGTTGGGTTGGTAGGGCTCCTCTGGAAACCAATAGTTGTTCATGACTTCTCTGCAAACAAAACACTCGAGGGGAAGGGTGGTGAGCATGTTGAGCCCAAAACACAATCGGGCAATCTGAACCACCACATGCCCCTGCGACGGGAAATTGTTCAAGACGTTGCCCTTGGTCTTGTCACCAAACGTGAGAAACCCTGCTAGAGCCATGACTAGGCAGGCAATCAGGGAGATGAAGGTGCTGTAATGGGTCACAGTGGAAAATCGGTCTAGAGTAGGTGTTTTGAGAGAGCCGTAGATCAGTAGGGAATTATGATGGCAGACAAAAGCTAGACAGATTAGCTGCGGGTAACCACATGTACAGGGGCCGTACCAAACGAAATCACTCCAACGGCCTGAAAAAATCCATCATTGACGAAGAGCAGCCCTTTCAGACTCCCCCGCAGTTCCGAATCGACTATGGCTCCCTGTGTGACAACCGTCACAATGATGATCATCATGCTGATCAACGCCAGTGTAGATGCTTTTGCGAGCTGCGGCCGTTAGCTTTATTCCCGGCGGGCGCATTGGGGGGGAGACACCTTTGCGATATCCCTATAAAGACTCAACGGCCAGCTGATAGTCAGAATGAAAAGGACTATGACGGCTCTTCGGTCGGTCAGAAGCCATAGAAATGGGATATCCCTCAGTCCGGGAATCAACGCTTCGATAACATGCGGGATGGTGTCTCCAACAATTATACAAAAAGCAATCATGCCGCCAAATGCGAACGCCCACTGTGCAACCGAAATGGCGACCAACCCACTGGACCCAAAGCAATGCTGCATGGTCGCCTGAAAGGAATCCGCTCCCGACAGTTTGCTGTTGATGACGATCAGACGAATCGTCCAGTCCACCGTGACTGTCAGCGATACCAGCAGTATTATTCCCATGGTCATGCCAGCTTGCCGAAATGCATACGGCTGGCCTATAATCCCCGCCCCAATGATCGAATTGGCCATGTTCATAAACGCACTGCGCATTCCACTCTTAGGCCTAGCATCGGGCAAGTGGTCTTCTGGCTGGAAGGATTCGGAGAGAAAGGGAGACTCGGTTGGGGGAGTGATGTCTGTCAATAGAGGAGCATGCTGGGAGGGAGAAGTGAGGTAATCCTCCTCTTCAACCCAGTCTTCTCGAGCTTGGGTATTCGATGACTCGTCGATGTCGAACCGCACTCGGTTCGTCGTTCGGGGAGTGCCATCGGGTCGAGGGTGGGAGAGGGAAGACTGCCTCAGCGAGGGGGGTCGAGTGTCATTGTTGACTGAGTCGGTAGGAGACTCTGCACTCCAGGCCGGCGTGTCCTCTGCAGATCCAAGGAGATGCCTGTAGTCGTCGATCTTGCCATTGGCGAGGTTGTGAACAGATCCATTAGAATCTTCGTCATCTGCGGTCATCTCGCACCAATTTCATCTCGTCTGCCGGCCAATCCAACGACTTATCGACGAGAGTTCTGTTGGAAGGGTGAAACTGTCATCCTTGGGATGTTTACGAGGCATGCACGATACAAGTTGAGGCTCAGCCAACACGTGCCTCGATTGCGCAACAATGTCCGTCTGCGCCGCCGCTACGGACGAGCACTAAGACACGACCATGACACTTCCGGAATGTGTATATGGCCCGTGTTGTCGCCATGATCAACTGACAAGATCGACTCTCTACATGTTATTAGCATCCTCAGTTTTCAGTCCACGGTGCTTTAGAGGCCATGTCTAGCAGCAGGCCTGGCAGCGTGTTGTTGTCTCCCAAAAGATACATACCAGCAGCTCAGTCTTTCACTTCAACCCGCCTCGCAGCTTTGGCGTCGGCCCACCATGGTCTTTGGGCGCAGTCTTCACCCATGAAGGTCCTGCTTCCCCAGCAGATTTCCTACCTCTCACTGCGAGCTTCCTGAGAATTGGAACATATGCAGCTCGCCTTCACGAGTCACAACTTGTGCATAATGACCCCGCATCAATCAAGGCCCCCAAACCACTTCCGATTCCGAACCCAAAGGGCCTGAAATGCTGATCGGACCTCAGACCATTCGGAATTGGCGAGCCACTTCTATATGCTGAGCTTCGCTGGCTTAGCTATTGCTTATCAACTCTACCTTAATCGTCAATGCGAAGACGTAAAGCAGACGATAGAATGATCTGGCGAGGTTCCACATACCATTGAGCATTCAACTTGATCGTCCTGTAAAGTGCACGGAGAGGTGCTGTGCTCATCATAAACAACGTCTTGGGACGCACTTCTTCACCGATACCTTCCACTGCCAATCCTCTCACAATGGGGGATTTCAAGGACAAGGTACGCCAACCGCTCCAGTGCCCAAAGATGAAAGCATGACCACCATTTCCCTTCGCAAGGAACGTGTCGATACCGCATGTATGCTGATCTACTCTTGATTTACCAGGTCATCGTCCTGACTGGGGCATCGAATGGAATTGGCGCAGCAACAGCTCAATTATTTCTGGACCACGGCGCGAAAGTCGCAGCACTAGACATTGCAGACGCCGCAGCCTCATCCGACGCACAACAGCTCAAAATCAAATGTGACGTCTCTTCGGAAGACTCTGTGAATGCAGCAATTAAGCAGGTACTGGACAAATGGTCCACTATCGACGTCCTAGTCAACGTTGCCGGGATCATGGACCAGTTTGGTAAGAGAGGCTCACCCTTCTCAAACAGAGTTTGCCCCTGTGGTCCAGTTTCTGCTGGACAACTAATACACTTGGCCTCCTTTGTCTAGAACGAGTCGGCGATGTGTCTAACGAGATGTGGAATCGTGTCATGAACATAAACGTCAACGGACCCTTCAACACGATGCGCGCCTGCATCAACCACTTCCTGACCAAGACGAACGAAGAACAGAAGGGCCGCATTGTCAACGTCGGGTCCGTGGCTTCGATCAGGGGCGGCGTCGCCGGAGTCGCATACACAACCTCCAAGCACGCCCTGCTTGGGCTCTCACGCAACACAGCCTGGATGTACGCCAAGGAGGGGATTCAATGCAACGTACTGCTTCCCGGCGGCGTGACCACGGAAATCATGAAGAACAGTAATTCTGTTCCAGACAAGGTCGGCCTGGATACCGTGATGCCGGTAATGGCGATTTCTGTGGGGAACTGTGCGCCGGAAGATATGGCGAGGGCGATTCTGTACTTGGCCGGCGGCCCTGGCGTGAATGGCGCCGAGTTGAGGGTCGACAAAGGCATGTCCGCCGCTTGAGCTAATCAGAAGGGGCAAATTCGCTGTGAGTGGTGCCCTGTTCGTGTACCTGAAAATGCTCGAGACGACTAAATCTGGCTCGGAGCAGGTGAGATTCATCTCTGTGAGACAGGGCACCGATAAACAGTCGGCTCAGGAAATTCTGCTCTTGTGTGATAGTGTCCTTGCGGATCTAGCAACTTGATCCCTTCATTGCGTCTCTATCACCAGATTATTTGAGAGAAAACTTGGAGAGAGCAAAACTCGTTGGACAAGAGAAAAACCATCATTTTGGATTTTCCTTCTTCTGCAGGACTGGTAGCCTGTCTTTTCGCTTCAAAAGCTCTAGAAACTAAACAATTAACACTAAAACTGCTGTACAATGCTGAGTGAGGGTAGTAAGTAGGACACACAATCGGGTCTCTTCTCCCTGGGGTTTTCCCAATGAATGCTGATGATAGATGCGCCGCAAAAAGTCGGCGTGTATTCGTTCGTGTTCCTGGTTATTGGTTCCTTTCTCTCTCGTGTTCTCCCCCCCCCCTCTCTCTCTCTCGCTGAGATCCTTCTCCCATTCTCTTTCACATATCAAACATCAAACCTGGAGCACGACATGGGCCAGCATTAAAAAACCCACACAATAAAAAGATGTCTGTTGTTCAGAGGAGGATCTTTCATCATAGAATTAATCCTGCAATGAATGCGAATGCGATTAGCGGCAATAGAAGGTTGGCTCTGGAGTCCGCCGCGGTGTAGGTTGATGATGAAGAAGAGGAAGAAGAACCTGAGCCGCTGGATTCTCCGAAGGGGCTGCTGTCGCTTGCTCCTGTGGACGACGCGGACGGAGCTCCACCACCGACTGTAGAAGCCAGCGTGCTCGGTTTTGACGTTATCGAGGTTGAAATTGTCGTCTGGGATTTCGATGCTGGGCCGGAGCCCGAGGCCGATGCAGAAGCACTTGACGAGCGAGCGCTGCTTGTTGCCGACAAGGTCGAGCCAGAGGTGGTGGCAGTGTTGTCACCGGCAGAACCCGCTCCTGATTTCGTGCCGAACCCGACCCTCGCATTGTCAAAGTCCAAGACTGTGTAGACGTTCTTGAGAAACACATCCCCTAGAATCCAATCGTCCGGCCCAAACGCCTGGTGCCCGATTATGTTACTCTGACAGCTCCCACTGCTGCCGGTTGGCTTGCCGACATAGTCTTTGGGGGATACCGAGTATTTCACGCCGGAGATGGTGAAATAGACATTGGCTGAAGAGGAACAAGGTATCGTGAAGGTTTCACCGCTTGCATCACTGCCAGGGATGAGTTCATGCAATGCTTCAGCGTCGTCGGGAGGCAGCAGGATGTACGATGTCCCGGTGTCAATCATGGCGGTTTTGGATTTGAAGCGCACCGACTTGCCGTCCACGCCTGCATCGTCCGCGTTGATCTGCCAGCTGTTGCTGTTAATTGTTTTGGAATATGACAGTTTGCCATTGAATCTGGACGAGTCGATCCCTCCAAAGGTGATTTGTCCATCATTGGTCCCGTCAGAGCTTCGTTGTAGGTGGATGCCCAGGATATTTGACGACAAATGGCCTTTATCATCCAATACCTGCATGACTGTTGGTGAACCCAATGCGTCTGAGGCGGGTCGTCCAAGTCCCAGAATACCGTCCATGGGATAGTTATTGAAATCATCCGACGCTGAAGATGCGAGGCCGAAGCCCAGCTCTATCGAATAGTTGGCCAACTGCACCGTGTCTTTGACCACCACCCCTTCAACTTCTCCAGTGCCATAGGTCATGCTCCATGTTTGAGTGGTTGTCTCGAGGGTGGTCGAATCTTCACTGCCGTATGTATTATGTATTTGACATGCATTCGACTTGCAATTTGTGCCCATAACCCAGGTATTAGCTGAACCGCTATCAATCAACATGTACATCTCTTGACCCTTGGACCCAAATTTCATGGTAGAGAAGTAGGTGTAGTCGGAGCCGTCTTGGCTAATGGCCATAGCATTAGGGACGTCGGGGGCAGACGAGTTGAGGACGGGGAATAGATTGTTCCGTTTCACCTATCATCTGGATTAGACAGCTTCCAGATCGCGCGCTGCCGAGTCTTGTACTCACCATAGCCTTCTTGATGTCGATGGTCACCGGAACTGAGTCCCCTTCGTGCACAGGCTCAATGCCCAAAGGAATGAACCTCTTGTTGTTTTCATGACCTCCATCGCCAGTATGGTAGGGATAGAATGCAGAGACACAGCTGGACAGCAAGGGCACGGATAACCAACGACGATGCATGGTTTATCTGTGTCGTGCGAAAAACAAAATCACTCCATTGGTGTATGTCGGACGTATGTCGTTTCGAGCCGAAGAGGAGCCTGTCCAAATAAAGCGATTGTAAAAAGTTGTAGCCTCGATCTGGTATCCTGCCCAAGTTCAATCGAGGAATGGAAGAAGTGCGATAGACAATACAGTGATGGCCACAGACAGAGCTCGAGGAATTCTCAGTCAAGAGATCCCACAATCCAGCTCGGGGACAGAAGCACAGCTATAATACTGGGGGAGTAAAGGATACTGGCAAGAAAGAGAGAATGAGAATCTGAAAAAGGCATGTCTCTTTGAAGTTCTTCCAAGAGGTTGAACTCAATGGTGCCCACCACATAACTCTTGAAGCCACTGCGTCGCCATGCCAAGTGCATCAGTGCATCAGTGCATGCGGGAGCGGGTCGTCATCTAGGGGGCAAAAACCCCCGTATGGAGCAGAGGGACCAGTTCGCGTACCTGACGATCCTTTTCGTGCTCACTCCATTGGTCCCTAAGAATGCGCTTCGAACCCAGATGGTGCCGTGGCAGGGGGACTTTTGGCGTCAGTCAAGGCTCGGGCTTGGGCCCAACCCCTTTGTAGGTTGGGTCAAGAAGCACAATCCACGGGCTGGTCCCTCATTATTGCCAGATGTTTGGTGTTGGGCCGCTCCCGAAGCAAGGCCACCCAGACAGGGGTAGAGCGAGATCTTTCTACCTAAAGATCTGATGCCTCGCTACAAGAGTACTCGGTAGGTCAGACATTTCAGGGCCTACTGGTAGAGCAGTTCGCGGGTTCAATTGGACACACGGGCCCAAGAAGGGTGCAAAGCGAGGCTCGAGTGCCTGCGAAAGGGGGGCAACAGAATGGAATGGCCGGAAGCATGAGCTGGAAGAGGGCTTTGTGGAGTCGAAGAGCGGGTATCATCTCTAGTCATCTGGGTTATGTGGAGTCGCGTCAGAAACACCCGGCCGCTTGCACTGCCACCGCCAAAGACAACAAATGGCAGACGACAAACATCTCCAATATGAGGAAAGACGCGCTGAGCGCTTTAATTAAAAGAAAATATACATCGTCACCCCCGACCGACAACAGATAATATGGTATAGGTCACAAAAGGAGGGAAAGGGGCACACGGCGCTCGTGCTACAACGCTATCATGACAGTTGCAACGGGATTGTCCATTGCTTCAACACCCGAACCTGGTTATGGCTTGGCTGTCTTGCCCTGTTGACCGAAGAGATCGTCAAGGAACCCAGTCCAGATCTTGCGGATCGTCGCCTGGTCCTTATCTTTGACCATGTCCACAAATTGGCGAGCACTCTTGCCCACCGTCTCCGTGAGAGCTGTGAGCATCTCCACCGACAATTCAGTGGGATGATGGCCATCGTGCACATCACTCATGGCACTTGCCGGTCCGCCAGCGACATCCCCCACGCTGAAGATTTGTGGCTTCATAATCGTCTCATAACCTTGAGTATCTTGATACCCTCCAGCAGCAGCGTCAAGTTCCGGGTGCCTCTCCAAGATGGCTTCGGCCTGCTCGGATTGGATGTAAGGTAGGATAGGAACACGGATTGACGGAGGGCTGGGTCTCCAAGATTCTTCGTGTAGCTTGGGGAGGTAAGCAAAGTCGATGGTGGATGTGTCACCCACGGCCTTGAGTGAGCGGGAGGTATTGAAGTGTCGTTGGGGGGCAGTTTCCGAGGGACTGATGATGCGGTCAGTTACAATTCTATCATTTGGATTAAGAATGCGAGGGAACATACCCTGAGACTGGTTTCTTCGTCTGTTCGACGGCAATCCGTTTCATAGCAATGGAGAATGCTCTCGCCTGCAAACTGTCGTGACCAGCCAGTCGATCAATGAGCTCGTGCTTGGTGCCAGAAGCTGAAAGGGTTCGTTTTTGGCACTCCTGACGAAGGTCCTGCAGAGACCATGGCACATAGGTGCTCTTATGGTTGGGATCAATGGGTCTTGGAGAAGCATGGACACCAGTAATGTGAAGACTCCGTTTGGCAGGGGTCGTAGCGGATGTACGCTGGAGGTTGCGCAGGGCTTTGAATGAGGATGCTCGGGGGGCGGCCATGGTGATTGATAGGATTGTAGATTATAGCTTTGACAGGTATAGGGAGATGCTGGGTGGTTGAGGATGTTAATGAATCGTGTGGAAGATGTTGTGATCGATGTAGTCCTGAGGAGGGTTCATATGCTGAAGTGAAGGTGTGGAATGATTCTTGAAGGGCGGGGGGACTACACAAAATATCGGTGAAGCGGGAGTGAAATAGCGGTCACTGTCGGGTGTTGGTGATATGTAAGAGGAGGCGGGTTCGTCGGTGTACGAAGGGAAGCCAAAATAACAGACAGCAGGGAAAGGAATATAGCTAGGTCCGGGGGGGAGATGATGTTGGCCTTATGAAGCACAGCTCGTCAAGTTATCTCATTCATTCGGCGTTCAATGGAGAGGGTTCGCTAATGGCGGTCCAGTGGCTCCGGGGGCTGTCAATGGCCATTCCACGGCCACTAGGCGGCGGGATTGGGGGAGATGGGGGGATTTGGGCTACGGCAACCAGGGCCCTTTAAGCGTTGAGCCCAGCCAAGTTGCAGCTTCGGTCTCCGCATTGTGACCCTCTAGACCAATTTGGGGATCCGGTGGAGTTCTCAACAGCGACTAATCCTTCCCACCCATGGCAAAGTACCATGCCTCGCATGCATCTTTGCTCATTTTGCGTGTGATTGCAAAAGCGGTGAGTACCTACAGAGCACACACTGCGCCCAGAAGTGTTTGGACATCGAGGGGACATGGAGCCGATGACAAATGGGATGCGCAGGAAGTAATACAGACTCTGGTTCTGGCTACTTGTCGCTCCAATCATAGAGTCCCCAGATGTTTCTCCCACCGGCAAGCATTGTCCGGGGTATCTTGGCTGGAAAGTATCTGAACAGTTGTTCCTGAGACCCGGCAGAACATATAGCCACTTTGCGGGAACACATTGGTATGAGGTGCACAGGATGTTCCTGATCAGCGCTCAGAATACACGACAGTCCGTCCAGATAACAATATCGAGCTGACTGCTCGTATGATCTCCGTCTTCTTGATATCTCGTTCTCGTACGGAGTCGTATCTCGTTTGGTGATCCACTGGTCCGGATGCTAACCAAATTCCGCCCTCCCCATCAATCTTGAGGCTGACCAGTTGCTAAAAATGGCCGGGGGTTCGGATTCATCGAAGCTATTGACTCCACCACTCATCAAAGCATCACAAAGGGTCCAGAACCCCTGGTGACTCGCTGGACGCCCGGCGCAACGCTTGCCATTTTCCTTTCCCCCGACTGTTTTCTCGACACGATGCATTTTTGTCTGTGTGGAATTCCGCCATCTTCACTGCATTGTCCAACGGTCAGATTGTGCGCTGATATGAGACTTGTTTGGGTTCAACTGAGGTATGGTGGGTTCTTTGAGGAGCAGTCATTTCTGGTAGAGAGCAGCCCGCGAGTGGTGGAAGTGCTCTCAATGATACGGTGGGTGAACAGGTCGTGGACTTGGTCCTCCTTGTGTTGCGTGCTACACATAAAAAGAGAAGGGCGAACGTGATTTGATCAGGATAACTGATGTTTGACGGTGTCGTTGTGTGTTGGGACTTTTCTTCAGCATGATAACCTCAGGACTCTGTCTTTGGAGGCCGGGGCAACCTCTCGCCCCGTGCAGGCTTGGGGGCTTGAGCTTGGAGATGCAATTGAGATCAGGTCAATCTATCGTCCTGCAACATCGACAACCCTTGTCAAATGATTGTCCAGACAGACACAAAGAGATTGTTTTCATACCGGGTGAAAGCATGCGACTGCAAGATGCCTTGTCGTTCTGAAGTACCCACGCCTCGCCGCTCACAACTATACCAGAGCCTTGATCGCTCGCTCTGGCTTGCTCTCTCGCCACTGTTCACAATAAATGTTTGCTGCTATCTCCTCGGCCGTCTGTTGTGAAGCCGTCTTCAGTGCAGAGTTGTTTGTCGTGGTTGAGTCCTTGGCTATCTCTATCGCTGGCGCTGCTTCCGCCGCGCATACATCTGCGCCCGCGCCCGTTGACAACAATTTTCCACCACCATACCACGCGGTTTCGTTGTTTTCTCCTCGCTTCCCCTCGTCCAGGATTCCGGAACCCATTGAAATCAATCTGTCACTATTTGCCAAGCTCTTCACACTTTGTATCTTGAAATTGATCTTGAAATTCCCCCCTGCGCTCGCTTCCTTCTCCCTCCCTACCACCTCACCCTCTCCCGTATCCTCTTCTTCATCTACCTCCCCTTGATTGGCCCTCGAGAGCTTTGTTCTATCCTGCATCCCATCCAGTAATCCTTACCCTTGCCCTCCGGCATCCCTGACTTGAGGGGACGGGGGCACGGATCAAAGTTTTGTGGGTTAGTTCTGTCTCTTAGTAGCAGTATACTCAAATCCCGCTGGCTAACCCTTTTCAAATGACCTTGGACAGTCTACTTGCTCATTTCCCTGCGAAGCAGTCAGATCAAGTCCTTTAAGGACCTTTTGAGGCTCAACATGCCGCGAGTATCACGTCGCTACGTAAAGAGCGAGCATGATGAATCCGAGGAGGAAGCTTTACCACCGATGTCCCCAAACACCCAGAAGGACCATCATTTGAAAATGATTCAGCGGGTAGGTTAATCTTGAAGCACACTGCCAAAGCATTCTAACTGAACTGATTTTCCAGATGGATCTGTGCGAGAAAAACGCAGACGCGATCAAGACGAGCGACTACCCCAACCGTCCCCGTCTATTTACTACGCTCTCTATCACACCAGAATGCAACATCGAAGGTACTGAAGCAGCTCGAATTGCTAGCGCTCACAAAGCGCCAACGACCAAGTGGCAGAGTGAGGAAGCTTGCTGATATTCAATGTCCATGGTCTGATGTTTTTCTAGCGTTCGGACAGAGCGACGAAGCCGTTGACGTTCTTTTCAACCAAAAACAAATCAGCAATGGCAATAAACATCGTCATGCCTTGGAGGAACAGAAGAAAGAAGAGGAGGCACGTCTAGGGCATAAGCTTAGCCTCGCAGATACATACAACGAGTATGGTGGCAATCGACGAGCCGGGAAGAGAGTTGCTTCTCTTCATGCCCGCCCTGCGGCAGCGTGAGTACTATATCTAATGCTCCCTTACTTCATGGTTAACCTGGACAAGGTCTTTGACTCAATCAATCCTAAGTGCGCGTCCAGTTCCTGCTGTGCCCAAGGACTCAGGGTTTTGGGAACTCGGTAAAGGGGCGCAGGTAGGACCCTTGCCTCCGCCAGCTCTCGAAGGCACGGCATCTAAGGCGCGGGCTATGCAGCTCGATGAACCAGCTACCAAAATGGGTGCGACCAAGGTGTCTGCCATGCCCGCAGCCCCTGCCGTCGCTGTCAATGCAGCTGATCTCAAGCGACGTGCTCTTACTCTGCCAGCCAAGCCTTACAGCTTCAACCTGGTGGAAGACCCGTCACAGTTCATGTCGTCTATCAAAGGCAAATTGACAACCTGGTTGCATGAGACACAGGAGGCAGCTCCTGGGATGTCAACTTCTGCCACAAATGCAGTTCAAGGGACCTTGGCAGCACCCTCGACCATGCCTCCTGTTCACCCCGAACAGATTTCCGATGGATATCTTCATGACCCCTCTATTCGTCGAGTTCCGGTCAGTGAACTCTCCTTCTCTAGGGCCAATTCTCTGGCTCCAGGCAATGTCTCGACTCATACAGATGGTACTCCGAGCTCCGCGGCCCTTTCTGGCTTTTCGGCCTCAGCCACAAATGAAAAGTCTTCAACTGGAATTCAAGCAGTCACCGATGATCTGATTGGCCTTGGTATCGAAAATGCTACTTTGTCCGGCGCTCTTCCCGTGGCAACAGTGCATAGCGCAGGTAGTGCCCTGCAGGCCAGTCCACTATCTGACAGTGGGAGTCTCTTGGACTCACCTATCCCTGACAAGGTCAGCAGCCAGGTGCTTCCAGCCCAAGCTGCTAAAGTTGTCATCGTCCATGGTCATCGCTACGTTCACGAGTCGGAGTTGTTCGCTCTCAAGAAGGTCATTATAGAACAATTCAGCAATACCACTGCCAACCTTGTCGGTGATCTTCTACCTTCTAAGCCGTCGCCCAATGCTGTTCCAGTCACTCAGCGGTCCTTGCCGACTTTGACTGTCCCGTCCTCTGTTACAGCTATTGCGCCTCTTGCCAGCCGTCCTGACAATCCGTTCGCCCCTCGCGAGCCTCTGGCAATAAACAACTCCAACATATCGCAAGTCTCTTCAACTATCAGCAAAGAAACCAGCAAGCCGCCTCCCACTGCGAAGCCAGCTGCTCGTCCTTCTTCAGTTGTCACGAGCAACAAGACTGTCTTTTCCAAGTGGGCCGATGAGCCAGCTGCTCGTCCTTCTTCAGTTGTCACGAGCAACAAGACTGTCTTTTCCAAGTGGGCTGACGAATCAGCTGCTCAACCTTCTTCAGTCATCACGAGCAACGAGGCTATCTCTCCCAAGTGGGCTGATGAGCCAGCTGCTCGTCCGAGTAATCCTCCTCGCGTACCTGTCGTCCGTCCTTCATCGCCGTTAATTGGTGATCGCAAGGTTTTCGGGCATCTCTCGAAGGAAGCGGCTGCGGGCCAGAAATATGATTCTCCACAACCCAAACCAAAACAACCTGTGATGGGCAAACGTCGATATGAGCCTCCCGGCCCTGGATTGACGCGGTTGCTTCAAGAGATCGCTGAGGCCAAACAGGAGAGTCCTGTTTCAAAGGATAAAGACGAGGAGCTGTGATTGCGTTGCAGAGTGGAGGCATGGCAGTGGGTGGTAGGAGGTGTGGCGGAGATAGTGTTGTTGAACTGGGAGCCAGGTCCAATTTTGGATGGAAATGCGTCTTAGTATCCCACAACCAGTTCCGGAGCAAGGAAGATAGCGGTAAGAGGAAAAAGAAGAAAAGGAAACCGAAGATGAAGCAGAGAGAGAGTTGATGAGCTTAGTAGAAACCAGCTTTAGATAGTAGCTCCCATCAAGTACTCGAAAAAATGCATTGAGCGCAGTTCAACGCGGCTCG